TAGGGTGGCGGAACTGGAAAGGGACAATGAAGCTTTGCGAATCATTGCGCAACAATGCAAACAAAAGCAGCAGTTGCTGTGCAGCAAAATACGCTGTTACAACTTGTGCTTCTTCGTGGTCAGTGTGGTGTGTATTGCTGTTTTTGCGTTTTGGTACAATTGGAGATCACACTTTTTCCCAAACGCTGCGAACTTGGGTTGTCTAATGCCAGCACACAGACATCCGCAACGATAGAACGTTTACTTCGTCAAAGGTCTGCACATTTACCAAGCACGGTTATTTTATTCCGACCTTTACGCCTGCTTTGCCAATATTCCATTCCTCAAGACAGTCAAACAAAGCTAAACATGCCTCGGAACTTTTTGAGCTGCAGTTCCACTTTTTGCGGTTATAGTCCAATTTTGTAAGCTACGTTTCATCGGTTAGACTGCTGTATTTGTGAACTCTGCGTAATTTCAAATATGAAGTCAGACAGTTGTTTAGTGCTGGCATAAAATATCTTCGCATGCACACAAGCACATTATACCCAATGCCTTAGGCTGAGTCCGTATGTGGACACCTCGTTGAAAGTATTGTTCATACTTGTTGGGAGCTTCGGAAGACGTGGTGGCCAACTCTTCAATGCAACCATGTTTAGCCGTGGCTATGTTTAACACCCTGCAGTTGACAGTTGAGGATGCAGTTTCACCGCCCCTCCCTGGAAATTCATAAATCTCCTTTTTCAGTTCAACTTCGCGGGCAACCGCCTTACAAACGAACCTGTACCTGCTTTGGTCCGCTTATATGCAACCAATAGCGGTGTCAATGCAGATGCCGGATGCATAGTGACTGAGTTGTCAACAAAAAGAGATGCAAAATGTTTAGGTCCCACGTAAATCTGAAACCCGAACGTTTTTCCCCTCACACATTACATTGCTGAAGGCCAAATACAGACCACTTAAAATATCACAGCAATTGCAAAAAAGTAACATGCATACTATTCAACTTTGAACTTTACAGATGACCGAACCCAGAGACTAGGTTGACAACTACATTTAGGTGCGCACGTTAGTGGACATCAAACGAGCTACAGTTCTCCACCGGGACCAACTACTTTACGGTGCACGTTGAAATACAGAAGCAACTGCCAATGCAGTGTAGCCGAAACAACATGCTTCACCAATCAGCAATGTCGGTTGATGCCGGTACAAGGCCATCAGCGGGTACATTTCGTGGTTCATCAACCTGGCCAACAAGGACACAACATAAATAAAATACCCCGCATTGAACTCAATAACACATTGCTCGCACATCAGTCCCCTGCTTGCCCAATAAATACAAACAAAATTTTGTAATGTGGACGAATACCTGATACGACGAAGTCCGTGATGAATGCAGGATGTATCCCAAAAACCCATCCACACTGCCCCGTCGACCCTAATATTTTTCAACCAATAGGGTGCTCAGTTTAAAAAAGGCTTCACATGCAAGACGAAGGATTCAGTATGCACTAATGTAACATGTGATTGCATACAACTACAATAATTACCGATTCCAATGACTTCCCTTGCCGTACGCCATCTGGTCCTCCCTCATCCATGTCCTGCAACCAAGTTACACATCCCATATTACCACACGCACTCGCATACAGCCAGACAGGGTTTCAGGCTGACAGTTAAAGGCAACAATGTGTTGTCCTTCAAACACCTTACCCCTATCACTTAGTGTCACTGAACTAAACAAATTATGCGTAAGACTAATTTTAGTGATATTATGTTCATTTCTGCATATTACTTCGATCGTAATCGAAATATGGCAACAGCTTATGCACTATGTGACCATTGGACCACAACATGTACGCAATACATAGAAGGGCATGAACATGGGATTAATTCAACGCACAACTTAGCAGCAAAGGTAGCCAGGGATGTGTAGACACAGTTGTGCATATGTTGCACATAAAATCCATTCCAACCTGAATCCGTACAACAAGGTCCCTTGGTCGCTGCTGCTCCATTTCATTTGATAACTCAACACCGATTCGGCCAGGGGGTGTCGTCCCCGTGTTGCGTTGTTGTGCATGAGCAGTGCAACTACAATTTCCATGATGATCATCAGCGTCTGTGGCTCTGCGCTTTGATGACGCGTTTGGCACACTTCCTCTTCCCCTGCATTGGTAACAAAACAAAAAATTCAACTAAACCGCACACTCAGTCTTCTGTGTTCCATAGCAAGTCAGGTAAGTTAGGTAAGCGTATTTATGAATACACAATTGCATTGTGTGGCGAAGTGCATTGTACATGGGATGTTGCTGTCATACGCCATACATATTGTTGCCTACCTCGGTTTCCCTCGACACAGGACTCGTGGTGCAATGAATTCTGGGTCCTTAACCCAATCCCTTTGACCCCCTGTTTGATTGGTCAGTTGCACAGCTCCACAGCCCTGCCCTCTTTGCCTCTTGCCTTGCACCTTCTCAGTTCCAACTGACTCACTCTGGAACAGTTCCAATGCATTTCTGAATCCATCCGACGGCTTGCACGCATTCCCACATACATCATTTGCTGCCGAAAGCAGCGTAGAGTATCTGGACATCTCTGTGAGGTGTGAGCTGCTTGTTTCAGCCCCCTCGTCACTTATTACGCATTCCTTTGCCTGTCGAGTCCACCTCTTCATGATGCAGTTTGGAGGGATCCTTTTCAATTCCTCAAATAGCATTGCACGAAACATGTGACAACAAGGCAGGCCGTGGGTTTCCATTTTCAGGCACGAGCACTTCATATGTCGCGTGGACCTGTTATACACCATAGTGTAGTACGAGTAATTGTACGGATGCTTCATGAAGTGCACAGCATTTATTCCATCATCCGTGCCATTAATCCTACAAAATAGCCCCTGCTTCTTCATTTCCTCCCGTACCACAACGAAAGTGGACCTAGTAAACACTTCGGCAGCATGTTTTTCCAGCGCCTGCAGCTGTGTCGCACCGAGAAGGGTAGTGTGCTCTGTGACAGCCCGTTGACGCCTCTCTTCATGTCGCAAGCGGCCCACCGCCAAGTCATATGTTTGAAGGCACTCAAAAAACTTCAACTTGGGGGTCAAATGTAATTTTAAGACCTGATGCATTTTCTCGCACCTTTGGGTACTCCGCACTCCTCCGAAAAAGTTGCCTCTCAGGAAAGCCATAGCCCAGAGCTCCCTGTTGCGGTACATCTTCTTAACCCATTCGTTATTTTGAAGCCGAAAACGTCTGACAACCCCTGCCCACCTCGTTTCAAAATTAATTGTTGTAGAATTCATAAACATGCAGGTCTTGAATGCCTGCAAGAACTCTTTGTCCCTTACATTTGTAGCAGCATTCATTTCCAAATGGAAGCTGCAAAGTCTGTGCTTAGCTGTGGGCATGAATTTTTTAATGCACTTTCGCATGGACTTGTCCCCATCTGTCACCACTGCTATCGGTTTCCTCCCATTCATTGCTTCTAAGAATGTACTTATAACCCAATCATATCCCTCATCTCCTTCGCGAACGATAAAAGCACACGCAAAGATACATGTCGAGTAGTGATTGTTAACCCCACACAACACAACCAATGGAAATCTGTACTGGTTCGTATTATACGTGCTGTCGAACACTAGCACATCTCCAAAACATCTATAGTCGTCTCTACACACGGAATCAGCCCAAAGCAAGCGATTCAGGCGGCCATGGCCATCTACGGAATATTTGAAAAATAAATTCGGATCACCTCGTTGCTTGCCTAACAAGAATGCAAGTGCCGAATCACTGTCCCCATCACCAACTGCTACCTGCCTCTGCCGATTCAGCGCATTGTACATATCTGTTTCATGGAAACCCAGGTTGCGATATCCGCCAGCCTGTACAGCTAGTAGTCTCATAATGTGACTTGTTCTTATTCCTGCTTGTTGCATAAGTACTGCCTGTTGCAGGTCCGACTTCCCAACCTTTCTATGCGACCTCATGAAACTTACACTTTCAGGACTGCACAAACGATGGCAATGTCCACTAACAAATTGTACAACAACGTCCTTTTGTTTCGACTCGTGTAATCGAACCTTCAAATGTGCTTGACAGTTCACTCTTGTTACTGCCTTCGGTTCCCTTATTCGATCGCCTCTGTTCAGGTGCTTTTCATGTCTTTCGCCTTCCTTATTGCAAAGCCATGACCTCACTCGGACATCGCCTTTCTTATCTTTTCTCTTGCACCCTTTTCGTACCCCAAAACCGGTTACTCTTGCGTACATCATATAGAATGCTTCTGCCTCTTCAATGCTGTCAAACTCCATGCTACCTACATCTATATCATCAATACAGTGGAATGCAGCGTTTACATTTGGCCCGTCTTGACCAACAATGTCCCCTACAGCACCCTGCTCTAAAATCCGTTCTGTTCTGCAGTTGGTTGTTGAATGGACAATATTAAATGTGTTGCCACTTTCTTCACCTTCGGCACCTGCACCAACATCCCGTGTGCTCCATGGATGCCCTTCCACCATTTGCATTCGCAATCCCGTTTGCTTGATGTTACCACTTTTATTGCTAATTCTGCTATGCGGGCTTATTCAACTTTGTTGCGTTCAAAATTGTCTCCAACAAACTTTGCAATTCAACACCACCAATGGAAGACTCAAAATGAGGTTACGAACCTGTAATAAGCAATACAGGTAATCATTCAGTGCCTTCATAGGTTACGAACATTATCTGATCGACACAATGTTGTTGACTTCAAAATGTTATGACATGATAATCCCCCAAAAAAGCCCCAAAAAAATTCCCCCTCTCACAATCAATGTAGGTTACACAAAACAGTGGTTAACACTTACGCTCTGGGTCTTCCATCTGCATGATGATAAAATAAAAACTTACGCTTACGCTTGCTTAATTGACGCTCTGCACTGCTACCTTACCTCCAAACAACCCGCGACGAAGACGACATTGTACCGTGGGAGTCAATGACAGCAGATCACCTCAAAAACCTAAAATAAGGGATGAAGCTAATCAATCAATGGCATCATAGGTGACGAACAATTGTCTGATGTACACTATGTTCTTGCATGCAAAAATGACTACATCACAATCCACTGAAAGTGGGCTAAAGATTCCCCCTGTGACAATCACTGTACGTTACACAACATACAACTTAATCGCTACAGCCTTGTTCTTGCAATTTCATGATGCAATATGGCACAATATTTCAGTCCAACCTAAACGGAAACGGAACATAAACACATACAAACATGCGTCGTCGTTTGATACTCGCCACGACTGCCTTCCATCCACAGGAACTGCCGACGCGATGGACAATAAGACACACTTGCAATACCGCACCTCCTTATCTGCACACCGTTTGGATTCCCCTTTGCAGGTATTACTGAATTACAACGCAAATCTCCGGAATATACGGAAAACAACCAACGCACCTTACTCGCAGTCTTGTAGAAGACAATTGATGTTCATCAAATAGCCAGCGTCGCTGTACCTCCGCTGACTATGTCGGACATTCACAACAAAAGACGGTGAAGCTATGTACACATTTTTCCCCGCATCAGTCCTGTTTTGGGGCTACACCGAAATTAAACAAGCAACAGTCCCGACAATCCATTACCTTTATTTAGGGTTTACTTTTCCAAATCAGTTTCGGCCCTTCTTTTTCCCGCCTCACCGTTCTTCGCTATTTGTTATTCAATAAATGTAAAAATTGGCATGCCCTATGCGCAGACAAAAAGTTATTAAAATAATCTTTTTTCCGCTGTATAAATATTTCATGATTTTGTTTTGCATAAAAATATAAATTTATAATAAGTGTATATTAAGGCTTGTTTTGCATACATATTATAAAGTCGTAGCTGTTTATGGCGTTTGTCTATTATATGAACCTGGAACGACATTTTGTTTCGCATTATTTTTTTTTGCATACATATTTCCGCTGTATATGATTTTGTTTTCCATACATATTATAAGTGTATATTAGTATAAATGCATAATATTAATATATATATTAATATTATGTAGAAATGTATTTGTATAATTAGTATAAATGTATATACGTGTTAATATTATGTATAAATGTATAATTAATATTATGTATATTAATATAAATGTATAAATGTATATAATACATAATATAAATGTACATTTACATGTATAAGTGTATATTATTAAAAACATATAAATTATAAATCAATATTATAAAAATGTATAAATTAATATATTACAAATATATATTAATATTATGTACAAATGTATTAATATAATTAATATAAATGTATACATGCATTAATATTATGTATAAAGGTAAAATTAATATTTTGTATATTAATGTAAATGTATAAATGTATTATATTAGATATTATACATAATATAAATGTCTATTATAAATATACATAAATATTTATATATTATGTATAAATGTACATTTATATAAATGTGTAATATATTATATATTATATTATCTAATATTTATGCAAATATATTATAAATATATAAAAATATACTACAAATAAAATAAAAAATTTGTAATCTGTATGTATAAATATATAATATTAGAAATGTATAAAATATATAATACACATTAATATTGAATTTAATTTATGCATAATATACATATTAATATATATTATGAAACAAAATTTAGTAAATATATTTATTAATTTATATATAAATAAATGTATTTATATAAATATATATTATTTATTTCAATTCATATAATATATATAATATTATACATAATTGAACTAAATATATTCACATTGATATAATATATATAATATACATAATTGAAATATACCTATTCAAATACATCATTGAAATATACAAATTGAAATATATTAAAATATAATTCAAATATACATATTAAAATACATAATTCAAATTTAGAAATTGAAATATACTTACTACAATTCACAAAATTTATTGCACGAATGCCGTAAATACAGGGTGTTTTATTGCAAACCTGATTAAAATTTTGTTCCCGTAAACAAAATTTTAATCCACCAACAACGGGTACTCAGTTCTTATAAGCTATAAACAGTTACTGTTTTATTCGAAATCGGTTTATTTTACTTTCTCCGCCACATACATACATTTTTAAATGGAAAACGGGGTTCTCTATTCTTATAATGGAGCAAAGTCGTAAAAAGCTAGTGTTCGAGTGAACACCGGTGTTAATTTTTTTTTATCCGATAAATAAATTGTGTTATGCAAAAAAAATTAAAAGGCTACTCTATTCTTATAATGCTGGATAAGCCATAAAAAGCTAGTGTTTTACGACAAAATGGATTTATTATATTTTTATCCCAAAAACAATATGGTATGTCGAAACACGGACACTGTGTTCCATTAATGGACGAAAGCCATCAACAGCTACTGTTTTATTGAAAAACAGGCTGGTTTTTTTTTCCGGATAAATAACCAGCCGTTATGCAAACAAAGCGTACTCTGTTCTTATACTAGTGCAAAGCCATAAAGAGATGGTGTTTTACGACAAAATGGAATTATTTCATTTAATTTCCTAAATAAAGCGGTTTATGCAAATACGGGTACTTTGTTCGTATTACGGAAGAAAGCCGTCAGTAGCTGCTGTGTTATTGCAAACGGGTTTTTTTTTTCATTTTATCCTAAACCTAGTTTTTTTTATGCAAAAATTGGGTACTTTGTTCCTATAATGCGGGAAACCCATAAACAGCAAGTGTTTTATTGTAAAACCGGTTTATTTTGCTTAATCCACCATTTACATTTTTTAAACGTCCAAAAGCGGTTTTAGAGATGAGGTATTTCATGCAAACTTGGTACTTTACCATGCCAATGGATAACATTTCAAACACAATCAAAGGTTTGGTATTTTAATTAACAAACATTCGGTTCCGCTTGGCTTACATACTTTTCTGGGTACTTTTCAAAAATAGCACTCTAGTCCTTCGATCGTGAAATACAAGCCCTGTACATTTCGCCAATTCCTTTCCCTTTTACACAAATCCTTTTTACTTAATTGCTTTCCAATCGCTAATTTTCATTAATATGTTTACATTGCAACAAACAATTTAATTCCACATAAATTGCAAAAAATTAGTATCTCAACTATTGGGACTTTGCTGATTCTTTGGAGGTCTGATAACAAAGCCGTTGAGAGCTGGTATTTTTATTACCGACACCTTTTTTCCGTCAATGGACTGCTTTCTATGATTTTCCTTTACTAAATGTCAAAGTACCGCCATTTAACCAGCATGAATATATCTCTTTGTTTAGAACTTTAAACAATAATGCTATTAACCTGTATCTTTCCCTTTCAGACCAAGTTTTTTGACTTGTCCATTTTTTCTGCGGCGCCGACAAAATTCTTCGGTTACTTTCCTATACAACTTTTACACAAAAAATTTATATATGCATAAATTTTTTGTGTAAAAAAACTAATTTATTCACATACGATCGAGTATTTATCCAAGTTTATTAAAACTCCACACTAAGTAACGTACTCAATTTTAATCATGAATACAACACTTTTCTGTTATTTCAAATAACAAAAAAAAAACTGCTTCGCATAAGTTTTTTTTCATAACTGCTGTGCGCTAATCATTTTTTCTTTCTTCAAATTTCTGAACCTTCTTTACGCACATTTTTGTCCAAGGCATTTGCAGCATTTTTGCTGCCGTAATGGGTACATTTGCAAATACAATAAATGCCTCTCCTTCTAACCTGCAATAAGACATCCTGTCCCAACCCAGGACGATAGTACGGAACTCTGTCTGCTTTGTTTGCTTCATTCCGCACGCTGTCTGCTTCATTTCCTCTCCACGCGCTCACCATCACTTTAACGTCTCCGTTTGGACCGTTTTGCCCCCAACACGTGTCGCTCCCTGCCAGCATTCCTACCATAGGCAGGTTCCCACCATAAAGGTATCCAGTCCTTGAAGCTTTGAACATTCCGACAATGATGACGATGGTATCATACCACTTATTTTGTTGTGGGAAAGGTCAAGCGCTGTGAGTCCTTGAAGACGGTGACACATGCTGAATGGAAGAAGGCTTCCAGACAGGCTATTACCTCGCATAGAAATAATTCCCAATGACGAAATATTGAATATCCCCAGTGGCAAAGAACCTGAAACATGATTGTAGTTAATTTTCACTATCTTCAATTTGTTTAGATTTCCAATTAATCTCCATTAGAATTGTCCCTTGTAGAGAATTAGATGACACACTTAGTGTCTCTACCTTTGGTGACATGAGATTTTACATTCAAGCCTCATGAATGAAATTAATCAATAATTAGCATTGCATACAAATTGTGGGCCGAGTAATTATTTTTCTTTTTCTTAAAAATTCTAAAATATTTATATTTATTCCAGACCTTTCACATTAAAAGACGATTTCAATGACAAAAAGGAGTTATGCTTGCCAACATGCATAAAATATTAAACAAAGTTACATCAAATTACGAATATTGTAATGCAAAATTGGGACGCTTTGTTAATATGCACAACTTATTACGTAAATGCAGGCCTTCAAATTTTATTTGCCTCTTTAAATATAATCAAATTGCTCTAATTTCACTTCACTTTTATGACAATTAAAACATGAAGCCTAATTATTGCGTGTGCTATGAGTCCAGCTAGAGTAGCCTTTTGATTATTAATCAATAGTATTATTATATTAGATTGTCAGGTATACACGGTAGGTTTTATGTATGTTTATCAGATTTCTGCTCCAATTCAAGAGTTTGGATGGTACCAGTCAAATTGTTGTGATCAAGATATAGTTCCTCGAGAGCCGTGAAGTTCCCAAGTCCTTCCGGTATCCCTCCATTAAAATTGTTGGCAGCTAATGATAGTACTTGAAGTTTTGAACATTCCGACGACGATGACGATGGTATCCTTCCACTTAATTTGTTATGGGAAAGGTCAAGCCATGTGAGCTGTTGGAGACGGGAACATATCTCAACTGGAAGACTGCCAGAAAGGCTATTACCTTTAAGTGCAATAATTTCCAGTGAGGAAATATTGAATATCTCCAAAGGCAAAGGACCTGAAAGCTGGTTGTAGTACATGACTATGTTCTTCAATTTGTTTAGATATCCGATTTCCATTGGAATTGTTCCTCGCCGGGGATTGTATGAGAGTTGTAAGGTCTCTAGCATTGACATGTTGGAGATGGAAGGAGGAATAGAGCCCGTAAAGCTATTGTTCCCGAGGGAAAGATATCGGAGTTCTTGCAAGGAACCAACCCAAGAGGGAATATCTCCACTGAGCTTGTTAACAGAGAGATCAAGAAGTCGCAACCTATGCAAACGAATCAATTGTCGGGGGAGTTCTCCATAAAGGTAGTTCATACTCATGTCGAGGGATACAAGAAATGACAGATTCCCCAATTGCGGGGGAATGGTGCCAGTAAGACCCAAGCTGGAGATATTTAAGGTAGTCACCCTACGATGGCGAGAGCCGCAAGTGACTCCTCTCCAGTCACAGATTGAGGATGCAAGGGACCAATTGTTTGATAGGATTTGTTGAGGATCTGAAGTGATTTTGGCTCTCAGTGCAAGAAGGGCTGATTGATCTGTGGTAATGTTGGTTACCCTCGTGGCCAAGCTAGCTAACAGAAAACTTAACAGGAAGAGTTCGAGGGTGTGAAGGTAGTAAATTTTCTTCATGACTATACTGATGTTTAGCTTGAGTTCTAAGACAAAGAGGCAGGCTTGAGTTGGCATGAATTAACAAGTGCTGCTTCATGTACATATATAGACAATAGGGGACATCTGCAGCACAGACACAAGAACAAAGACAGAGGGGGACACATTTGAATAGCATAGATTTGTATCACGAGTATTTGAAATTTTGAAAATATCAAATTCAGATTTTGAATTTTTTTTATGGTTGATATTTTATCCCGACTATTATATTTCCGTTTGCATTAGCTGTTTTTGGGATATTTTTGAAAAATTTTACTATAACAGAGTTTTTAGAGTATATTTTAGGATATTTTTAGAAAATATTTTGGGATATTTAAGAGTAGTAGAGTTTTTAAAACATATTTTGGAATATTTTTTAAACATTAAAAAACTTTAGACTATTTTTTAGAGTACATTTTAGAGCACTTTTTAAAATTTTTTATAATATTTGAAAAACTAATTTTTGAAAAATAGAGGGATCAAAACAGTAATTTTTAAGTCGGAAGCTTCATGCCATATGGCAGTATGTTGTTCTCATTTTACACCTTTAATTTTTTTTTATTTTTACATACTCTAAGTTACTAGTGATTCCTGATCACCCCAATCTCTCACACTACTAAGAAAAGTTAAAAAAATATGGCTATGCAAACCACGCTACTTCCATTGTAGTGCAAAATGATACCATTTAAAATTGATAATAATAAAGATAAAAAGTCTGCCTTAAAAGTTTCTGTTGATAGTGTCGACGATTAGGATATTTTCTTGATGATTTATGTTCGTTTTGAGTTCTGGATGGATATCAGTGCTACTTCATGTACACGTACAGACAATAGGGCACATCTGTTGAACAGAAATATGCACAAAAGTGTGGATGTGTTCTGGTCTTACTTCTAATATACATAGTGAGTTTTTTTTTTTCCCCCGCAAAAATACATTGTGTAACCTACTCTATCCTAATCTAAGAGAAGGGAGAGCCTCAGGAGACTTGTGTTAGAGGTTAGTGGATATACAAATCCAACTAGATCAAGAGAGTGTTATGTCACTATCCTTAGATTTTTTTTTTACTGCAAGTGAGATTTGAATCCTCACCTACAGTCCAAAGAGGGACTTAAATCCCTTCCTGATGGCCAGGGAGCTAAGCTCAATGATTTAATAGTGAGTATTTGAAAATGAATTTTTCTAAATATTGTCAGAACAAAAATTAGGATCGAGAGCAAATTTCTATTCATGAGACAACTTTGCCCTTACTTAAGGTTTTGCAATTAAACTTTAAAATTTTGGGGTCTCAACTGAAACTCTTGCAAATTTTAGGCCTTGTTTGTTTTGTAATTTTCCGTCAGAAAATTACCTTGTTTTCCGTGATCACATTTTCTTATTACTTTTTTCCCTCACATACATCAAATCGCTACAGTAATTTTTTCCATGAAAAATCATGAAAAATACAATCCAAACACAAGCTTAATTACTCCACCTACAGTCTGCCAATCAATCAATCATCCCTTGTCTATTCTCCGCCCCTACACGATGCTTACCATCTACGTTTTCCTTGCCCCCAAACAACTGAACCACTAGCACCCGAACTGGCAACTCAAGCACCACATTAAAACCCAAAAAAAATCCTCGTCAATTACTTCTTCCTCTCGCACCTCTTGGCGACTTTGTCAATATATCCTCCAATATTCACTGTTGCGGATCACTTCTTTTTCTTTTCTCATCTTCTAGAACTGAAATCAATGATCGTGAATGGATTATGGAAGACATCTATTTTTTTTCCAGAGTATTTAATGCTCACCCCTTTATTTGTCAAACTTGCATATAATTTGGATTGACGTATGTCACACATCTCGCCTTAAAACTTGTGAATGGGTGATTGAAATAGTAAAAAGTTTCATTACCCATTCTAAACCCTTATAAAATGAGACACTTCGACCACCAACGGCATTTAAGATTTATTAACAATTTTCCTGAAATGGGAGATAGTTATAAGTTTAGGGATCTAAATGTACCATTTTGAAGTTTAAGGACTGAAGTGGATAATTATTCAAAATTTGGGGGGACAAAGTGGTATTAACCCTTTATATAACTAGTTGACAGAGGGAGCAGTTGGTGGAAGAAAAAGGACATATGCTGAGAGATGAAATTTGGTTGGAAAAAGGAGTCAAAGGGGAAGTTTGTCAATTTCAATTAGGGAAGATTGGGCTTTTGTTGAATTTTTGAGATGAAACTGGGTTGGAGGTTAATAATTGTGGTAGTGATAGGTGGCGGCTTTACTGTTATGGCAATCATGATGATTAAGAACCAAAAATTTTTGGAGTTGGAAATGGGAAAAGAAAAAAGAGGTTTGTTTTGGAGTCGGGAGGAATTAGTTGAAGTAATGATTATTAATGTAAGGAAAAGGCAAAATTGTCTGATGAAATGAAATTTGCTCTGGATCCTATTTTTTGTTCCGACAATATTATCTGCCTTTTTCTAAATGATGCTCTAGAGCACGTGTTAGTATAATTAAATAACACCTAATTTATTAAATGTATATTTTTTTTCCAAATGTATATCTTTTATCGTTTGAACAAAAATATTAAATGTATATATGGACTCACATTTATTGCAATTCATTTAGACACTTTTTTAAAATTAGTTTCATTATTGCTAAAAGATTAATATTTGAGAACCCTCTTAATGAGGGCACTCATTGGTCAAACCTTTGAAAATTCCAGTTAAAAAGAAACATATTCAAATGTTTGTTTGTATAGCTGATATTTCATCCTTTTCCTCTCAGTCACTTGAAAACCACAATTTTTGTCTGTGTCCGGAGAGAAGGCTGAATTCAAATCTGAGTAATTGTGTTCCACAACGCATAATTGGGGATGAAATTTTCTGCTTTCATTTTGACAGCTATTTGTTCTCCAAATAGCTGTCAGGTCAGGTCAACTATTTGTATCGATTTTTATCTAATTTTATAAGATATAACTAAATTTTTTTGTGGTGTAACTTACTTTCAATAGAAAATAACTATAGAATAAATTTTTATGAGTTTCACATATGATGTTAAAAATGATGAACACGCGATGATTTGAGTCTTACATTTATTATTATTATTATTTTTGGCAAATCTTGGATGTTAGCTGCTCATGGACGATCATTCTAATTACTATCCTTGCCCTGCTTCCCTTGCAACATACACTGACAATAGAATGATTTCTTTCTGCTGCATCGGCACAATATCTTCCCATTCATTCCATAAAGTATAGCTACTAATTTTACTACAAAGTTCGATTGGATTGAAGAGTATTTACAAAGATTTTTTAATAGTATTTATTATAACATTTTTTTGATATCATACAATGAAAAAAAAAAAAGATTTGATTCGAAAGCGTGTTCTGAAGACTTCACACAGTAAAGTTACTTACACATCCCGTGTCTCCCAAATCTCTCGTCAATTAAAATTTTGAATATGTCTTAGGGAAAAATGTCTCGTGATTTACCCCTTTGACTTGATGTTTTGGAAATTTAGCTAGTATCACTTGATATTTGAAAAGATCCCGGGGACAAGAATGTCCCATGATATATCCTTTTGACTAGAGGATTTAATAATGAAGCAGCACTCGAGATTAGAATAGATTTTGTAAAAGAACATGTTAGAAAATTTGTTTAATTTCTTTTACGTATGTTTCTTGTTTTGTATGAAAGTAATTAGTTTTCTAATTAGTTTTAGTTACTTGAAATAGTAGTCAAGAAATTTACTATTTTATTTAGGATTAGAGGTTATTTCCTATTCTGTACGAGTGTAGAAATTAGAATTGATTTTCTAGTATTATTTGGTTTTTGGCCAAATAATATTCTTTATAAATAGATGGATTGACACACTATATAGAGAGACACACATGGTCATACAAGAGGCAACATGCAGCATTATACATGGGTGGTGAGAGAGGGTTCTTGAGAGATGAGAGATGTCATACATGGGTTGAGTTTGGATTCAAATTGTATTCTCGTGTAGGATTTTTCTCTCATAATAAAGAACGAATTTCTCTCCGTATACGTAGACTTAATAGTGGAGTCAAACCACGTTAAATATTGTATTTCGTTTATCTTTCATACTTGTGGCTTGTTTGTCATTAAATTATTGTTTACTTAATATCTCAATAATTGTTTGTTCTGTGCTTGGATCCTAACTGATAGGTTACGATTTTATCATTTATTTTATTGTTAATTTCCCCTATTACCTGACCTGATTTGGATCAATTATTAGATTCTACTCACTTTTCATAATTTACATTTATTTTAGGAAGTAAAATGAAAATACTATAACCAAGACCAATTTGACGGTCATCAGAAAAGAATTCAATTAGCAAGCCTCAGGGGCATTTTTGGAATATGAGGACGCGACCCTCTTTGGTAATTTGGCAGAAGACGACATGGAAAGAGGACAAAAAGGCTGGAGTCTTCTTCTCCGCAAGGGAGCCGCCGCACAGGATATACACATTAGAGTAGGACCTAGATAGATATTAGACTGCAGAGAACAAGCACTATGCAAGCTTAGCCTTTGACTTTTCCGTTTTGTCCTTTAGTAGCTATTTCCTCATTCGTATGTCCAGGCGAGGTGAAGACGTTTAATCACTTCCCATAGCTTTGCTTTTTCACGAGTATTCTAACGAATTGAATTCACCCAATTGATGGCCGCGACTGTTCCTTCCATTTTATGTGGGTCTTTCTTGTCAGGGATGGACTAAATCCCTTTTCCTAGCCAAAAAATAACTTCAGAACATCTTGTGATCAATGCTTTTGACCTGGCAACTTAAAGATTTAACAGCACTTGGGATTTGAAAAAGTTGAAGTATACGAGGATCTTGTTACACTTCGAGAACTTTCAATCTTCGTAGAACTTCAAGGATTTGACGATCTCTAAAGACTTGGGAAGTTGAAGAAGACAAAATTACTTTTTGAACTTCAAGAACTTTAAGGCATAACCATCGGGACATTAG